AAGAAGTGTATCAATTACAATCTAAAATGAGTCAAAAGATGCATCACCGCCTAAATGTACTACCGGTTCCTCCTTCAAATTTTCCTTATTAGATTCTCTTTCAAGCTCGCTCAATTTGGTGAACTCTTCCATCCTTTTTAGAAAGTGATCAAACCAAGTTTTTGCCTTTTTTTGTGGAATGTGTCGTCCACTCAAATGATGTACTTGGTATAGGACACCCCCGATTTCAAATAAACCTAAAAAAATATAACGATTTTGAAAGCAACTCAATACATATGATACATCCGAATGGATCTTGAGATGGGCCACTCTGACGTGGAAAAAATGTCTCCGAGAAATCATATCTTATGAGATCGATACACATCCTATTATATGCAATTGCACATCCGAGCGTAAGGTCATTTTTCCAGTTCAAAAATAAGATTAGTGCAGTGATGAGGGATGAAATGAGTTAACTTTACCTCAAATTACAACTTATTTTACCCCCTTTGATGTGATAAAACACAAGAATGACGATTTGGAGTTGAAATACTGATTGATAATGAATATTTTAAAGAGTTTTGGGTTATGAAGGTGACATGGAGTGTGAGAGAGATGATCATATAAGATGGCGATTTATTCAATTTCCTACTTGATATTTTCGAAGATGCATCTTCAAAAATGAAACTGAATGATTAAATAAACCAACTTAATGAAAAACGAATGGTAAATAGGTTCAAGGATGTTTTCTTGGGGTGTTTGTGGACCGATTTGGTTCGGTTTAAGAGAATCTGATGTTCAAACCGATTAAAAATATATGGATTGATTTGGATTGAATTTGTACACTTTTGTGATAAAGCCCAAACCAAACTAAACCGAGAAACAACAGGTTGGCTTGGGTTGGATTGATTGGATACACTAAAAATAAATGTGAAAAAATATTTTTTTTTTAAAAAACCTTTATATCAATTAATTTTCCATAATATTATAAAATTCTTAATTTTTTTCTTCGTTTTTCTATCTATATGTTGTGAGCGGATCAAATAACGTTTCATTAGTTTTTTTGAAGTTGAATACTTTGTACTAGTTTCCATGATAATGATCATATGAATTATGTGAATCAATTATGATTTGTTCGGGTAGACGGACTCGCAGGTAGAACTTTAGAAATCTAGTGCTCGAACCAATTAACATCAGATTTTATTGGTTTAGTTTGGTTTTTATCAAAACTAAAAAAATGTCCGACCCAAACATCTTGGTTTAGTTTGGATTCCAGTTTGGTTCGGATTTTCCCAAACCAATGAACACCCTAATGTTTTCGGTTGCGACTACGAAACTCTAACTATATTTGGAGAAATTAACCTGCCACCCCCCAGTTATACGTCACCCCCAATCTATATGAAAAGACAAATCTGACCTTGCAAAATATTTTTCAAATTTTTCAAAATTTACAGTTCTGGGGCGAAATTTTAAATATTTAGGGCGATACCGGAAATTTCAAGTGAACTAATGGAAATTTAGCAAATAGTGAGTTTTTCCACGGAAATCATAAAATTTACGGTATTTTGTACTAAAAAATTTGAAATTTCTGGTATTTTCTACCAAAAATTTTTTACCAGAAATTTCAAATTTTTTGGTATTTATAAAAATTTAGTTTTGTACCGAAAATTTTAAAATTTCTGGTAGTTATAAAAATCTAGTTTTGTATCAGAAGTTTTGAAATTTCCGATAGTTATAAAAATCTAGTTTTATACCTAAAATTTTGAAATTTTTGGTGGTTCCCATTATTATTATTTTTTTCAATATTTATTTTTTCCTTCTTTTGTAGTGAAATCCAGAGGCAGAGACGACACTATTGCAGGGAGAGTTGTTGATCGAGCAGCAGACTATGGTAGGGCTGACAGGGGTGCTGATGCCGAGTCTTCCCAGCTACAGATAGGACGAGTGGTCCCAACTTGTTCACACTGGAAGCATTTGGTTGGGCGGGGTCATTTTCAGGCACCTCGTTCCACTCGACGTCGACTAGTTCGATAAGTAAAGCAAGTTACATATGAGGTGCTGTCAAATGTTCCTGTATCTGATCCCATTGGTGAGCCGGTGGTTAAGCCGATAGTTGATCCAATTGTTGCTCAGGAGGTTGTTGAGGATGTTGGTGTGGAGGAGGTTGCTCGGGTGGTACAACTAGATGTCGTTGTTGGGGAGTCGGGACCATCAGTTACTACTGACATGGAGGCTACAACTCCTTCTCCTGAGCCCTCTGTGCATACTAATAGAGGATTCTCAAGAGAACCCATCAAATGGTCCGTGCTTAGAAATTATCCTGAGCATGTGGCCTTACGATTATGGCAGGGCGAGGTATATGTCTTTTATGTTTAGCTTTATTTTTTGTTTATATATGTCTGTCACATGAGATATCAACTAATTTGTTTATATTTTGTTGTCACAAAAGCGACCACACTGAAGGTGACATCGCACAAGTCGAAGATGAAGGACTTCCCGAAGATTCCGATGCTTGAGCAGGTTAGTCGGATTATACAAGAGTTCCAGCTGCTTGATTTTACCTATGCTCCCTCACCATGTTAGATGCTCCATTACTTAGTACCTTTGTTGAGAGGTGGCACACAGAGGCATCATTATTTTATCTTCCGTTCAGGGAGATGACTGTCACTCTGTATGATGTCTCCACATTGTTCCATCTCCCTATCGGCAGAAAATTTTGGACGACTCTCGTTCTTAGCGTGACCCTTGCATGTTAGGTTATGGCACACGATTTGAGTTTGTTTGAGCCAGAGGTGCTGAAGGAGTTTGGTGACAGGAGGGGTACGTACTTTCGTATGCATTGGCTTCGGAAGATATACGATCAACTTGTAGCTGCTGGGAGGTATTAGGCTACCACTAGGGCGTACATGTTACATATAGTAGCATGTACTCACTTTGCGGATAAGTCCGATACTTATATTGATGCCCGATACTTATGCCTCTTCAGTAGCCTCGAGGATACCGGCTGGGCTTGGGGGTGTGCTGCATTAACCTAGTTGTATATAGGTCTTGGAGTGTCGACGATCTTTGAGACCAAACAACTTGCTGGTTATTTGAGTCTATTACAATTATATTGAACTTATTATATGTTGTTGTTTTCGTATTTATTTTTTATAAATAAAATTTCTAAATTATTATTTGTTGTGTCTGTGTTTTAATTACAGTGCTGGATATACGAGCATTTCTCTACCATTTGTGATAGGAAGGTGCAACATAGCGAGGTGGGGGCCCCACAGGCGAAGAGGTGGAAGGTGAGACAGTCACATCATTGTGGTGTTTCTGAGTATATGAGGATGCTCGATGCCCTGAGTGTAGATGATGTCATCTGGACACCATAAGCCAGTCATATAGTCCACCGTGAGTTCGAGGAGTCGTCATTATATTCAGGTTATATGCGGTGGGAGACCATGGTTGCCACTTTTCTGAGAGGTGTCTGTGACACTATGACTATGTTTAGAGTATCCCACGACCAGTTCCAGATATTCCAGCTTCAGAGATTGACTGATGGTTTTAGAGTAACTTCATCAGCTCCGGTCGTGCCATTAGAGTTTGAACAGTCATTGTTCAGCACCCCTTGCAGTGTGAGGATGGTTATCTAGAGTGGTACCTCACTGTATCACACCCTCACATCACCCCACATACAGCTGAAGTCGGGCCTTCTGATGACCAAGTACCTGTTGATGACGTGCCTTCGTCGCCTCCTCCAATAAATCACGCTGATAACTAGCAACGCCTTCAGATGATTGTAGTTATTATGGACAACCTCATGGGTTTGATAAACCCAAATGGTGAGGTTTATACTGGATTAGCTCGGGCTGCACATATAACCCGTGGGGGCCTATTTAGATATCTTTTGTTTTATTTGTATTATTTTTATATTATTCAGACATCTTAAATATTAGCTAATATTATTGATCTTCCTTAAATTGCAGTGTGAACGTTAACTAACATTTGACAATGGATTACATAACTTAAACAGAAAAAACTTAACATTACAATATGGTTAATAAATAAGAAAAACCCAAACACTACAAAACGCTTCAGGACGTTTCAGCATCTTCATTATGTCGTCAACAGATCTTGAAAGCTTAACATCTAACTCGACCGACCCCTTTGTTATCCTACGGTGAAATGATCTCCACATTTCCTTCACATCTTCGTCGATCTTCAACTCAATAAGGTTGTATTTCACCCTCTCGTTAGTATGAATTCAATCTTCACGAAACTCGATCTTTCTCACCTTTCTGTTTTCGCAATCAGGCATCAATTCATTCAACGTCGACGTTAGGTCGACAAGAGATGTGGTGCCATCAGGAAGCCGAAACTCCACAAGAGGAGAAACTTCGTTGAAATACACTTCTGCCTTAATCAAAAATTGAAGAAGAAGCATTTTTTGAGATGTGCTTATCAACAACATGTAACCTATTTATACAACTTCGTATCTATTCTGAACAACGCAAACTGTCAGTGCAATCACAACCATCCCAAACTGTCGGCAAATCCTGATTATCCTGTTGGCAAAATCCTAATCATCTAAAAAATCAAACAAATAGAACTACTGAAAATTTTATTTAGGTTGAAATTTTCAATAATACCACAAAAATTTAAAATTTTCAGAACAGTCTGCACATTACTGAAAATTTCCAATACACCAAAATTTTAAATAAATTATCGAAAATTTCACTATATACCAAAAATTTCATTATAACTATAATGAAATTTCATTCGAAAATTTAATGTGTTTTTCAATCCAGAACAATTTTAAAATTATGAAATATTAAAAGATATCAGATTTAATTTGAGGTGAGAGGTTAAATTCTCCTATATTTGATTTGTTAGTTGAAGTTTCAAAATTACCCAAATATTTTTGGCAGCGCACACACAAGCGGAAGCCAAAAAACAAGAACGAAAGAAGCCAAGTGTCACTCTCCCGAACATTGGCCCCTCCCTCCTACACTCCCCAACCGAACCAGCCACGGTCTATGGCGACCTCTTTTAATCCACCAACCGCCTTTCGCTTCCTCAAACCGCCATTCTCTTCTTTTCCTTCACAATCATCCTCACTTTCCCATTCTCTTCCTCAATCGCATTGCACCTTCAAATTCCCAACCACTCGCTGCCGTTACTCATCTCTTGAAGTATGTATTCTCTTCTCTAGTAACTGTCTGAACCATCCTTCGATTATCACTATCTGAAATGCAATTTTCGTTTATGTTCTTAATTGCTTTATATTATAATTGAAATTGCAGTAATCAGAGGAATGTATGTACTAATTATTCAACTGTGATTTTTTGTTTTAGGTTAAAGATGTTAGTTATCAACCTCCAGGGACTCAGCTTAATCTTCTCAATTCAGTTAGTTTTTCGCTTCCAGAGAAAAGGTATTTATTTTTTCATGTCTTGATTTCATCAAATTCAATTATGAATCAGTTTGGAATGTTTAGGTATTCAGAGCCTAATATTGGTAAAAGAACAAAGGATTTTTTATATGTGTGGTGGCTCATTTCTGTCAATTGAGACAGTTTTGGTCTAATTTTTGGACAGAGTGGAAGCGGAAAAACAACACTTTTGCAGGTCTTCCACCTACCTCTTTACTCTTTTATGAATCTGCTTTATTGAAAATTTAATGCTACTTACCTGTTTGGATAATTAATTTCGCTCCTCCATGTGAACTCCTTTCGTTCCATATAGCTTCTTGCAGGAATAAGCAAACCAACATCTGGATCTATTTACATCCAAAAATATGGGGATGATGGAAATCCTAGTCAATCTCCGGAGCCCTTGGTGCCAGAAAGGGTTGGTATTGTCTTCCAGTTTCCAGAGAGGTACAAAAGTAAATCAGTTGAATACAGTAAGATATATTTTTAATATTCTACTACTTGCATTTTGTTTTAATCTTATGTTGTAAATACTAAGCAAGAATGCTATATACATCAACTATATCGATTCAATTTTGCCGTTGGAACCCCTGCAAATATCTAGTGACTCAATCCAAGAAGAATAGACATCGAAAAGGTCACAAGGGACCAACATTTCAGACTTACCATCATCTATATTATAAAGCTCTCTTGATGCTGAAAATGTATTTCACAATTGTCTGACATGACATATAATTAAGAGTGTTATGCAAATCTTTGTTTCAAACACCTGTACAAACACAATACCTTTAAATTTAGAAATAAGTTTTTCATCTGTCATTAGTTTCAGTGTTTTACTTAAAACTTTTGAACTTCGAAGGATAATTCTGTTGATCTTAGTATCCAAATATTCTTGGAAATCTATGCAGAACACTTTTTATAGGGTTTATAATACTAAATCGGATATTTTTTTATCCAATTGTACGAGCGGTATATTGTTTAACTTCCAAACTGTCTCCATTAGCCTTTTGTTATTATTTTTAGATCATGTTTCATTTTTATTGGATTTCCATTTCTAAACTTCTACATATATTGGTGTTGCAACCTAGGTATTTTGTTGCTGATACTGTACTTGATGAAGTCACTTTTGGGTGGCCAAGGCAAAAGGGTAATGATCAATTAAGGGAGAAACTTGCGCTAGGGCTTCAGAGGGCAATTAATTGGGTAGTTACGCCTTTGCAAATTCATTTGTATGTTTATTTATAGTCATTATATTATTTAGTACTTTCTTCACGATCATTTTGTTCTTATGCAATTCCATTTCTTATTCATTATTATAGGTTGGATTAAGTGGGATATCATTGGATAAGAATCCTCACTCCCTCAGCGGTGGTTACAAACGTCGCCTAGCCTTGGCCATCCAGTTAGTAAGTTAATTTTCCTAAAAAGAAATTAGAAACACAATACAGACATGCCTGCTTTATTTTGCTTCATGTCTTCACATGACTGGCTCCTGACTGTTGTTTTAGTTTTCTGACAGCCGAGTGTCAATTGGATTAATGGTATTTTTAATTTTCAGGTGCAAGTCCCTGATTTATTGATATTGGATGAGCCTCTTGCTGGACTTGGTATGAAACTACAATTGTTTTAGGAAATACCTTGTTTTATTTAGATGAACTACAGTATTCTCTTAAAGTTGTATCTAATGCTTCCCCTTTGGTTAGATTGGAAAGCGCGTGCGGATGTTGTGAAGCTTTTAAAGCATCTAAAAAAAGAATTAACTGTGCTAGTTGTCAGCCATGACTTGAGGTTGTTTCAATTTACTCTATTAACTTTAGATCATCTAACTTTTTAATCATATTATTGTTTGATTCTTATTATATACTTCTTTTGGTCTCATTTGTAAGATGAAAAAAATCATCAATTCAAGGAGGATTCAATGTTATAATTTTGAATGTTCATTTCAAATATTATTCTGGCATCAAATGTTTTTACACCCACTTATATTAGCAATATATGCATTTCTTGTAAATCTAGAAATAGTAAACGGAATTTTAGCAATTTGTTCACCTTAAAATTTGTGATTTTTTTCTTATCATTATGACAAAAAAATAGCAGCGTTTTCTTATATATGGTGTTAAAGGGAGTATTAGTATTTGCTTACAAGTTTTTCTTTTTCTTCTGCTTTAAATTTTTATTTGTCCATTTCTATTAGAAATTCTAATTTCAAATGTTACAAAGAAAGTGAATTAATTTAAGCTAAATAATTATTAGGATATATTATTGATTAACAGTTTCTGTAGAATTTGTATGATTTTTGATAGGTAAGGTAACCCTAAGTTAGTTGGTTAATTAGGCTAATCTGAGAGATGGATGAGTTAGTTGAATAAACAAATAATGCTATTTTGCCTGTAAAAAGGAAGAGGGGTTGAAATAGAAAGGGAAGCAATTGGTGGATAGAGTTGTCTTTAGTATCTAGAGATTTGTTCATGCTCGATAAGGAATTTCCTTTTCTAAATAAGTTTCTATCAATATTTATATGAAAAATCTATTAAATGCTATTGTTAATGATTGATCATAAATCTTATAATTCATTTTAAAGTTAATAAACTGTTGAAGCATTATGGTGTTGTGTATTTTTCTTATGGGATTTCTGTCTGAATTTCAGAGAGTTTGCGAGTCTAGTTGATCAATCATGGAGGATGGAAATGGGTGGCAATCTTAGACAGGAGTTACTACCGTTATAATTTATATTTATTGCCTTGATAACCAAGATGGAATGCTAAGAGGTCTGAACCTTAATCTTATGTTCTTGATGTATTTTCTACTTCACCTTTATTGTAGGCTTTTGGGACATTTGATCCTTAGAATAATTTTTGACTGCCTCGATAATTATATAATAACTCTTCTAAAAGAAAAAGTCATTCTGATTTTGCATTTGTCAACATATATATGATGCACTCTATTTGGCGCAGACTTTTGGGACATTTGGTCCTTAGAATGGGCTCGGGACTTGTTTATATACTTGTGGGCCTTTGCTTTTCCCACACTTCAAGCCAAAGTGAGTTGGGTAATTTTAGAGATAAGTTAAATATTCCGTATATTGGGTTCTATTTTTCCTGACAGGCAGTAACCTCCAAGTAGGAGAGTGTATGTGAGAAGGAATAGGAAAGAAGCAAAATATCAAAGCCTCTAAATTAGTTGAAACTGGTTAACCAAGTGGACTGACAATTATTAATTGAGATAGCGGCAGGGTGGGAATTAAAACAGGAGAAAAGAATGTGAGGTAGGATATTGGATTAAATTCTGAGTGTGTGGAAGAGGCCAGGACCTCTGAAATCTGTCAGCTATTATTTTGTTCAATGTATTCTTTTCCCTGAACCAGTTCACACTACATTGGTACTGGATTTCGGAATCAGTTGTCAGTTCTTACCGCTGTAAGATCTTATCTACAAAATGTTAAATACTGAATACCTTTTCTAATTTAATCGGTTACTACCTATACAGCCTTCTTGGTTTATCAGTCAGTAACTTGCATGCTCACTTAAACCTTAGTTTGGGGAGACTTTTAATAATGACCTGATATCGAATCCTAGGAATTCCTTTGGATGGTTTCTGTTGGAATTTCCGCCTTTATTGCGCTCCGACCCTATTTGCTTAAATTGCGGCATTTGACTCGCCTTCATTACAGCCTCCAACACCTTCATCGTATTGAGTTTGAAGGGGTGGATTTAGTCCCACATTGCTTAGAGATATGACATGTGTTTTATTTATAAGTCGGGGGTAATCTCATCTTACAAGCTGGTTTTGTAGGTATGAGTTAGGCCCAACTTACACATTCTAAGATGATATCAGAGCCTATTCTAAGATGATATGAGTATCGTCCATGCTTCGGCCTCATTGAGGTCTGAACGTGAAGGGTGTGTTGAAATTTCCGCCTTCATTGTGGTCCGTCCCTAGTCACCTAAACTGCGCATTTGGCTTGCTTTCATTGCAGCCTCCAACACCTTCATTGTGTTGGGTTTCTATTGCGCGTCTTATGTTTTGAACTACCGCTCACATTCGTCTTTCTTTTAGTTTTTTCCCACACATTTAAATGTCACAATATTGATACATAACCTCTCAAGTTTGGACTGCAGACTACCTCGCACATGATGCTAGAATGACTCTTAAGAATTCACGCAAAACTTGTGAAAGTAACCAAAAGTACATGCATAACAGATTTAGTTAGGACTATGATAGGATCCTGAGTCTGGGACCTTAGTCTAATACGAGTTAGTTAGGATATTTCCTTAATTTTAGGGATATTCTGTTATAAAAGAGAGGGAAAGGGATTAGGGAATTTATTCAGAAATATTATTAGAAAGTTGTTAGGAGAGTTACTCACTGGTTCAGGAGCAATTCTGCTCCGGGTTATGAGTTCATAGAACTCTGGTTTATCATTTCTTGTTCCATTTTCACCATTGTAAGAGCTTCAAGCTCATCTTTGACATTCGATAGAATACAGTTTTGTTATCTTGATTTTCGGTTCTATCAGACTAGCTAAAAAATTCACCCGAAACTAGCTCCCAAATAAGTTTGACTGCAGAGTGTACTTATTTGAAGGATTTCATAGAACTCACAGATTTATTGAATGTATTATCAGTTTTCACTCAAAAGTACATCCATAACACAATCACACCATGAAATACTGCTGTTGAGAAGTCTCTTAAAGCGGCTCAATTATTAATACTTTCATACAGCATAAGTTGCTACAGCTCCAGCACCAAATCTACAGTACCAACAATAGTTAGTCAAAACTCATAAATATATTTCAATTAGAATGCAATGTAAATAATATGATGCTCCATAGTACACCAGTATCCATTGAAATAAAAAAATTTGCTGGGGATTTGGTTTGAAATTTGCTGTATGCTACATATTAATGTTCAACATTAATGTATATTTTGCACATTGGTAGGGTTTAAGTATTTACAATATTGTATATGGGCAATATGAAGAGAGTGGGGTGTAACGAGTTTTGCTTGAAAGCGTCTTTAGTTCTCGGTAAGTATTTTTTTCTTGATTGAAAAATTCTTTGTAAGTATTATGTACATGATGTTCTAACCTAACATATAATTATGTTAAATTAATAATTTTAGGATCATAGTAGCCTGTATTAATGCTGAAAATGTTAAAAAAAGTTCTTTACAAGTGACAAACATACTACTCAATGAAGTTATATACTGAGTAGAGGAGTTTCTGAAAAATTCAGCATTTAAGAATCAGAGAAGATACAAACCCAAATTCAGCGATCCACCCATTTATAGCCGAAGCTAGACTTAACAACTCCATTTATACTTCTTATTTTGTTGTTTTAAAGAAGGCTATAAGAAAACTTAAAATGGGGCTGATGGGATAAATTTATCAAATTATTGTGTGAATAACAGATACTAGAGATATATAGTACTTACACTCGGCATCTGTTTTGATCCAGTGCTCATTGTTCCCAGTCAAACCACCGCAACTTAGGCCATCTTGCGATGGGTTCCAGATGCTGTCGCAGTGTTTAGAGCTCTTTTTTGACTTGCTATCTGAATGAAATCTTCTGCCAGGATCTGGGTTTCTGGTGTCTCCCTTGTCAGCTTTGTGGGATTTAGTAACACTTTTTGCATTAGTGGTGTCTTTAGGATAGACTTTTCTGTGAAACTTGCGTGGAACCTGCACATCCAGATGAATAAACCAAATAACATATTATGATTGTTGTGTGTTCAAGATGAATTTTGAAATTGTAGTTTTATTTTGATAGCTAAGCTTATTTAGGGAAATGCATTCTAGAATTCCTTCATTTAATTGCACATCCAGATGAATAAACCAAATAACACTTATGATTGTTGTGTGTTCAAGATGAATTTTGAAATTGTAGTTTTATTTTGATAGCTAAGCTTATTTAGGGAAATGCATTCTAGAATTCCTTCATTTAATAGTCTTTATTTTATTTTAAATAATAGCAAGGTATCATTAAATTTATGTCTTTGTCTTATTGATGATATTTTTATTTCTATTTTTTTCCTTTATATTTGGTAGAGGTATTAAGTGGCTCAATAAACTTTTTTTATGAAATTATGAAGTTAAAGTAAATGTTAGATAAATGGAGAAGGAACACTTTAGTTTCAATCTATAAGAACAAGGGGGATATATAAAATTGTGCAAATTATTAGAGAGACTAAACTTATGAGGCATACCATAAAGTTATGAGAAAGAGTGATTGAACGGAGACCAAAAAAAGAGACTTAAGTCATTGAGAATCAATTTGATTTTATGTCAGAGAGGTCAATCATGTAAGCAATCTATTTACTATGATGTGTGATGGAGCAATATCGGATAAATGAACAAGACTTGCACTTATTTTTTATTGATTTGGAGTAGGCATATGATAGAGTACCTAAAAAGATTTTGTGGGAAGCTCTAAAGAAGAAAGGAGTTGGGATTGCATATATTCGAGCTATCTAGGATATGTACGAAGAGGTATCGATTAATGCGCGAACACTGGATGGAGAGACAAGCGATTTTTCCATTACAATAGGTTTGCATCGAGGCTCAATCTTAAGTCCCTATCTTTTTACTTTAGTTTTGAATGTACTCATAGAGAATGTCCAAGAGCTAGCACCTAGATGTGTACTTTTTTCAGATGATATAGTCGTACTTGAAGAATCAAAGGATGATTTAAATTAGATATTGGAGACGAGCTTTAGAATCACACAACTTTCTCCTAAGTAGAAGTAAGACGAAGTATATGGAATGTTAGTTCAACAAAAGAAGAAGCGTTTCTAAGCTAGAGGTGAAAGTTGGAGACCATATCATTCCACAAGTCATGCGGTTTAAATGTCCTGAGTCCGTAATACAAAATGATGGAGAAATAGAAGGAGATGTAAACTATTAAATTCAAGCTGGGTGGCAGAAATGGAGAAGGTTTTAGGGGTTTTATATAACACAAAAGTATTGTTTAAGCTGAAGGGAAAATTTTATCGAACTGCGGTAAAACCTGCGATGTTGTACGAGAGAAAACGTTGGATGGTTAAAAATCCATACGAGAATAAAGTAAGTTTACCAAAAATTAGGATGCTTGTTGGATGTGTGGTAAAACTAGACAAGATAAGATTAGAAATGACAATGTTAGAGAGAGTGTATTGGGGTAGTACCTATAGTGGAAAAGACCGTGGAAAATAGATTTAGGTGGTTTGCGCATAAAGAGAGGAGACCTATAGATTATGTGGTAAGGAGCATATATTAGATGAAAAGAAGTCGAACGACTAGAGATAGAGGAAAACCTATAAAACTATAAGAGAAGTTCTTAAGAAAGATCTCGAGATTAACGATTTGGATAAAAATATGATACTTGATAGAACATTATGGTGAAAGTTAATCCATGTTGCAAACCCCATTTATTGGGATAAGGCTTGGTTGTTGTTGCAGTATATTTGTTAGATAGGGAAACTTTGGTTAGCAGTGGGAATGAACCCTACATCTCCTTCAGTGTCCTAATTCATACCTAGACTAAACTTCGGATGGAGTTTTGTTAAATACTATCTCTGTCTTTTAATATAAGATCGTCTCGAGTTTTTTTCTTTATCCCTCTTATAAGATACTTTTAAATTTTAAAGTGCATTAATTATTTCTTTATTATCATTTCTCTATTTATATTACATCTTTTTCTATGTAATAAATACTCTTTATGAAAAATTTAACTAATTCTCTTCCTTAAAGGTTAAGTTTTCCAAAAATTTAATATCAGTCATATCTCTTAATTCTCGTTATTTACTCAAAGGAGTTGTATGTTTAGGAATCAAGGTAGTACGTCATAGAATATCTAGTAATAGGAACCAACCTTAGGGGTCATATGTTTAGGGATCAAGGTAGTATGTAATAGGATATCTAGTAATAGGGACCAACCTTACAGAGCTTTGCATTTGTTGTAGTAGAATCAGCTATATTCCCGGCAGTGCTACAGCTTTTTGAGGAACTGTAGATCTTTTTCCACATCTTTTTCATAATATGCATGGAAGACTTGTGTGCTTGCTTGACTTGTTTCTCTTTTACTCCTGTCTCTACACAGTCTTCTTTTGCTGTCTTTGTCCTTTGAAATAGCTCAGCAAGTGATGCCGACTTTTCTCTCACTTCTACCTTCTCTGGTATTTCGAGCGATGACCCCAATAAATATCCTTGCAGTGGACATACTGCCTTGTTTTCATAATCTTCAGCATCGGATCCATCTGTTTGCTTTCTGCTAAGTGTGATGTTGCTAAGACTGTTTTTTCTTGATGATTCATAAAAACATTCTTCTTCAGCCTCAAGGAATTTCTCAAGCTCGTAACTTATGAGATTCAGTTCAGTCTCTGTCACGTCTGCATCTTCCGTAGGTATGTTTTCTAAAGGCGTAGCAAATATTGGTGCTGCTGGCTCATTGGTAATTGCTTCTGCACCAAGTGTTCCAATTGTCAGAAAGCCTTCAAAGAGCTCAGATATGGCTGCAGATGATATTTCTTCTTCTCTGCACCAAGTTGTTTGACTTTCCTGATAGTGCGGCTTTAAGAAACAGGAATGGTTGATGGAACTGTAGCTTGACTTTGTCTTAGAGTATTGGCTGTCAACTGTTAGCTGCACTGTAAGGTGAGCACAAGGATTTCCTGAAATTGGAGTTCCAAAATAAATTACTAAATTCGTGAAATTAGAAATTAAAGACGAATCTATTATCTATATGAGCCGGTGAAACATATTTATACTGCAGATAAAACATTGGAGGTATAGTACTCTCAAGTTAGTACTTGAGAGTGATATACGTTCAATGTTTCATCTGAATTCTGAAGTAGATTAGTGGTTTAAATCAACTTGAAATGGGATGTGAAAGGTTCAAGAACAATAGTGGTTCTAAATCCTTATCTATTTGAAAAGCTATATATGCAAAACTCCTTAATTTTACTTTAGGTAGATATGTGTAACATTGTGACATTTTAGTTTAGATTATTTGCTCACAGATGACGGTGCATTGATGCAGTTCAGAAAAATCAATGTAACACATATTTTGTTATGTTATTGTTGATTAACAGTGTGACTAGTCCTCAGTGAGATAGGAATAATAAACACAGCTGAATACCAAGAGTGAAATCCTTGAAGGGATCAATATTTTTCTGCTGAAGTTTTCGATGCACCCATTGAAACAACTGCAAGAGGTAAAGGCATGTAGTGTTAAGCCAAAGGCCTGGAAAAAGAAATTCATCCTAAACTGATAGAGTTTAACATACCTTCATTTTGACCCTATTCTTAGTTTGATTGCCAATGTTTCTCACTTAATAGATTAGGCGGGTAGTTATAAATATGAATAGGAAAAGGTCTCCAGGTTTGGGTGATTACGATGGACAAAGTGAAAAGGCACATATATCTTTGCTTTGTGACTCTCAATGAGTTGGAAGCTATGTAGCACCATCATCTCTGAAAAAAGGCGTGTCCGTGTTCATGTCGATATTGGACACCTGCACCGATACTTATAATTACGTTTAATTTATTCAGTTTTTTAAATTATTACCAATGTCACCGTGTCAGTGTCAGGGTTTTTTTTAGGTGTCCATGCTTCATAGGTTGGAAGTTGGTAAATGCAAGGGTCTAAGATAAATATGTCTGTATGGAGAAAGACAACTAGATAGTTACAAAATAAAGTGGCTGGCCATTCTATTCAAAAGCTAGTCATGTGGGTAAATTGAGTTTGTCATGAGTACTAACTAGTTTCTATTTGTCTGTATTTTTGTTTCTGTGTGAACTTTGATGGAGTTGAATGATACACATGTAAATCTATAACCTTTGATCCAAGGCAGACCAAAGTGAATTTAGATGATAATGCACCGCCAATTTTGAAACATACAGATGTTGTAAATTTCAGTTGCTATAAGTTTTAGAACAATATGTTAGATAGTATATTGTAAACACTGTTAAAATGTAATTCTATACATGATTGTATATGTTTCACTTAAATGTGAGTGCGTGCGGCTGCATGTGTGCTTATACCTGATAAGTCAATAGCGGCGCTATCCCGCTATAGCGGAGCGGAGCAGAGATCGACCGCCATGGGAAGAAGAGTCTTAGCAGCTATTATAGGGTAAATAGCGGGATAGTGGAGCAGAGCGGTTCTTGGACCGGAGTGGTTTCTTTCCTGCTATCCTTTTCCCCTCTAAAAAACTAAAATCATCCCTTAAATTTATAACGTTTTTAAGATAATTTTGGATTTTTCAATCAAATTTGAGTTAAGACTCAACCTTAACCTTCATTCGTAGTCGTTTGTGCACTTCAAGAGTAATGTGTGCTTTGATTTATGAATATTGTATGAGTTGTTATATGTTTATAATTATTATATCTTATTTGTCCAAAAGATAATAAAAAAGAGTGGTCATTCCGACTACACTATTCCGCTATACCATTTTTTGGATCGGCCACTCGACGCAGTTATCTGGGAATGACTACTCTGGTTTATACACTAACGAGTTTTCCGTAAAAAGTTTTACTATGGGAGATATGAAGGAGCAAACCTTCTAAAACCGAACCTTCATTTTGTTGTTATATGCACTATTTGTGATGCCTGTGCTAATAATTAGCGAAAACTCTTCCTATACCTCGGAAACACTTGTCATGTGCTTCTACCTATTCCAGCACAGTTGGGAATGAGGCTATAGAAGAGATGTTAAGATCTCACCCGACACACATGAATGGACTTCTTGCATCTTTCTAAATCATGAGCAGTTCTCTTATTGATTGTACAATGATTCAAGCTTTAAGGACATTTTTATACCATTTTGTTTTTGTTGTTAGGCCATATTAACAACTTTAATTGCCGTAGTGATAAATTCTATGCTATGCAAATATACAGGAATTTGATTTTTAATACTCTGTACTAAAACACATGTGGAGTAGTTTATTTATTTGATTTTTTTCCATTTCAATTGAAAAGTTTATAAACACATTGTAGAAAATTTATTAAGGATACAAACATAACACTGCCACCATTATTCCAAAACAGAAACGCAAAACAAATTGGATTATCAATGAATCGTTATTGAAAAATCATACTCTCTCCATCTTATAATAAATATTTTATTATATTTTATTTGATCTCTGCGGTGTTCTTAAGAAAATAATTAGATGTGTTAATTTTAATAATAAATTAATATCTTTGATTAAAATACCCTTATTTATTATAAAGTGGAGTAATTGAAAAGCATAAAAGTTAATAAATAGAAGTATACTAGTTGAAAAAAATGATAATGTTGTATTGGTATTTTAAAATATAGAAATAGTATAAATGAGATATTTTTTATGAGATAGAGAAAGTTTTATCGATAATTTCTGATACCAACTATTAGAAATTTTCAATTGAATCTTGATGTCATAATTTTCATGATACTTAAATTTTTTTTTTAATAAAAAAAAATAAATCGTATCTGGATAGATAATACTGATTTCTTCTTGTGTTTTTTCTTCTAATGTTCTTGATTTAAAATTTTTTTATTATCTCTTCATTCTTTTCTTTGATACTTGAAACAAAAGGTAGAGTTGCTATTATTTGCAATACTTTTAAAAATGTTGAAAAGTTAAATTATAATTAATATTGATCGAGGCTAGAATCATGAACGAAATCGCTTTCTTTAAAAGTATTTCAAACATTCTCAATATAAGTATTTCAAACACTCTTAATATTCTTAGAGTTGGAACATGTTAAGAGCTCCACATCGGACAATATATGGCATGAACATGTGTTTATAAGTGGGGGTAATCCTCACTCTATCAGCCGGTTTTATAGGGTTGAGTTAGGCCCAACCATATTTCTTAACTAGTATCAATCCTCACTCTTAACAGAACACATGAATATCCAGACAAAAACTCAAATGTAGCAAAGAGTGTCTGAAATTTTAGTGAAGAAGATGTACGTTTTTTGTGATGTTTTCTGAACCTAAAATGAATTACAAGAGTTACAAGCTTTTATTAAAAAGTTGTTAAAAAATTGTGTATTTTTACTAAAAGTTACATTGTTTTGACCACAACAACATTCTTCAAGAATTGCATATTTTTATTCTACAATATTTCATATTTTCGAATTTATAGCTGCTGTAACACTTCATAAATATTGTCTATTTCAGAATTCAAACCTATTGTAACACTTTACAACTTTATTTAAGTATCAAATTTAAGGAACAATTTGCTGGCAGCATGACGTTGTTGGCATCTCTTTTTCAACACTTATGAATGGAATTCTTGCATCTTTCTAAATCATGAGCAGTTCTCTTATTGATTGTACCATGATTCAAACTTTAAGGACATTTTTACCATTTTATTTTTGTAATTATGCGATATCAACAACTTTAATTGCTGCAGTGAATTCCGCAGGGATAATGTCTGTTCCTGTTGCTGAAAGATCCACATCAGGCCAAAAAAGTGATGATGTTAATCCACCCCTACATTGTGGAACACTTATCTAGTTTGAAATCTTTAGCATCTCGAAGCAAAAGAATTGGTTAGTGGCCGAGGTTAGTCTAATGGAGGATAATGTTTTGGATTGAGATTTGAGATGAAGAGTTTTTTTTTATTTTTTCTGTCGGTCTTATAAGTGATTTGATTGATTATTTTATTAAAAGAGAGAATAATATTTTTTACTAAAATACATTTATTATGTATTAAAAATAATAAAAATAATATTATTTAAAATATTTTTTTATTTTAAATAAAACACTCATTATAGAACGGAGGAGTATGACTAAAGTTGATTATTAACATGCATTTTGCTCTCTCGAGAAAAACTCTCTCTTTGGCTTTAGATAGGTGGTTGTGACATCACGCCAGAGATGAGATTTTCTCGGCAACCTAGATGTTTTCTATTTCTTCTGTCTTATAATAAATATTTTATTTGAGCTATGTGCGTTTTTAAAAAAAATTAGATGTATTAATTTTAATAATAAAGTTGTTATTTTTTACTAAACTATCCTTATTTATTATAATTAGTAGAGTAGTTGAAAAACATAAATTTAATAAATAAAGATATAATAGTAATAAATAAATAAATGTTAGTATTGAAATTCTAAAAAGATATTTATTTTAAAATATAAAAAATAGTGTAAATAAAATATCTATACAATATATAAAGAGAATACTTGTTTTGGTGTAATTTATTTTTCTACCATTTTTATCCTTATTTTATTATATTTAATAATTTTTTATTATACTTAATAATTTTTTATTATTAACTTTTATATATTATATTTTTTTCAAATTTTATTTAAACAAAAAATATCGTTTATATTTTCATTCCTGCAGACTAAAAAACGTGTCCGTCTGGACGTTAGTATGGTAGAATATAGTTATATAGTTTATTCAGACGAGATTTTTTGTCTTGTGTGTAGGTGTTTGTTTCAATTAGTTTCTAATCTTTATTATTGTTAAATGGTTCTGGTAATTAGTTCTCCCCAGCAATTTTTGTTTTTTTTTTGAAATTTTTATCTCACTATGAGTAGGTCGAAGGCTAAGGGTGAGCTTGCTATAGACTATAATTCTGTTGTGTGGTTGATTTGTTATTTTAGAAAAGAAGGTGTAATATTATCTACTCTATTTTTCTTTTTACATTTTGTAATTGCAAACTATTTTATTTCTTATTTATATTGATTTTAACAATTAAATATGATATATTATTTTGTTAATATTAATTTTTATTATTCACTATAAAAAGATAAATATAGAAATAGATAACGATTAATTAAGGATGGTATAAGAAAAATAAATAGTTATAATAAAAGTAACAAAATTTATTTATTCTTTTATTGCACTTAAAATTTTAAAATACTCTCTCTTTTTCAAAATAAATATTATTTAAAATTTAAATTAATTACTTTCTTTAATTGTTGTTTTACTTTTATTTTAATATCTTTCTTTTATATCCATATTAAATATGATCAATATAATATATATAATAAATGTAGTTTAATAAAAGTATTTCTCTCTCTCTATATATTATTAGTTTTTATTTTGTATAAATTGATTAATCAAATCAATTATTTTAATATAAAACATAATATTTTAAACTTAAACTCATTAAATTTATCAATATACTGTCATAAGGTTATAGATGCGTTGGTGACTTACTGATCGAATTGTCTGATTGTCTAAACGATTAATGTTAAAACAAATTGAAAAAAAAATCATGAGAAAGACTTCATACTTTTAAATTAAAAGATTGAAAATTGATTTTTAATCTTCATAAATTCTATTATAAGAT